TTAGGAGAGTTTTCTGTGTGTGAGGGATGATAGAACGGAGACTTTATCTGGGAGACTCTCAAAAGCAAACCTGGAAACAAAAATACCATCTCTTCGTGTAATTTGTGCAGTTTTTGAAAACTAAGGAGTTGACACATTAATACTGAAATTAGTACAAAAGTAAAGACTCCAGTGGGCCCGGAAGTTCACTAACTCCATCCCATCTGTTTTTCCCTTCCTCCTGCCTGGAAGCGGGGTGGTCACAGCCGCCGCGGAGCCCGTGCTCTGCCCTTCCGTCCCTGGTGCTGGATTCTACGGGGAAGCGATCGGCACTTAGTTCACACAAGTCTAAAAACAGGAATTGAACAACAAGCACCATTCTGCACACTTTAACTTATTTATTCATTCACTCATTCATTATTTGTTTGTTTACTTATTTTCTCGGAGTGTTTTTCCAGTACTGTGTCTGCCACGGTATACGCACATCCTTCTGTTTTTTTTAAGTCTGACTGCGTCTTGGGAGTAAGTCCGATGTCCCGGCTGGCGCGCCCTGACCTCCGACCCCATGTCTTTGTCAGAGCCTGGAGGCGGCCGTGCCCCAGCACCCCTCATGAGGGGCCCCACGGAAAAGTCCAGCCCCCAAACTCGACTCCCTCTCGGTTGCTGCAGATTTGCACCAGCCCCACTGAGCCCACCAGACGTGTTGTTTCTGAGTGGGGTGTGTGGAGAATGTTTATTTAGTGGATTTTTTTATTTTGCTCGTTCCAATCATTTGCAGCTGAAGAGCTCCAGCAACTCGAATGTCCCCATCTTTCTGAGCCCTCACCCTGGGTCAGGACGGAGCTAGGACTTGTTAAACCTCCCCGAGCGCCACCCAGGCACCCTGATTGACTTGGGAGGTTTGCTCCCAGAGGCCCCGGCCACAGGGATGGGGATGGAGCCCAGCCCACCCGCTGCCTGGGACCCGCTCAGCATGGTGGGGCCGCGTGACCTGCAGCCACCCTGAGCCATCATGCGGTACGAGGATCTCTGTCAAGTTGCCATCTAGAAAGCTTCCCCTGCACGTACATGGGTGCCTCACACCTGCGCACATGCACACACACGCATGTATACGCGCACACATGCACACACGCACAAACGCATGTGTGCACACACGTGTATTCACACATGCGCACACATACACAAACACTGCTGATTCTCCTAGATGTACATGGGTGCCTCATACATGCACACACATGCCCATACACGCGCACACACACACGCCCATACACGCACACACACATGCACCCATACACGCGGGCACACACATACACACGCATGCACGCACATACACCCACGGATGCACACATACATGTGGGCACGCACACACGTGCACGTGGCCATACACGTGGGTGCACACACACATATACACACGCCCATACACACGGGCACACACATACACACGCCTATACACACACGCGCACACACGGCTGCTGCTCCTGCAAGGCCGGCAGCCGCACTCTGGGAGGACTGGCCCGCCAGCAGCGTCCAGGGCGGAGGTTGAGCCGGTGCACCGCCTCTGGGGCCCGTGCGTCTCTCCTTTAAACAGGCCCGAGACGCACCAGATACAACCTCCCCCTCCCCACACTGGACAGATGCCAGTTCGCTGCCAGGCCTCCCCATGCATCCACCTGCTGAGACCCGACGGTGTGGCCGGAGGAGGGCGGGAAGGTCGTGTGTTTTTGTTTCTCGCTGGGTGATGCTGGGGCACAACGGCCAGGCCGCCCGTCCTCCGGAAGCCTGGGCTCCGTCCCGGGTTCGAGTGGCCTCCAGCCACACACGTATTCTGTCAGTAAATCCGAGCCAGCGAGGCACGGGGTGAACCAAGGGGACTCACTGGGGGACTCACACCCAACGAGTGTGGGAAAGCGTAGTGTCCCCTGTGAGATGGAGCCTCGTGCACTTTGTCGGGCGTGTGTCATGAGGAGGGGCAGGGCAGTACCATGGGGCCCAGAGGGCGGGCGCTCTCCCGCATCCTCACCACGAGGCTGCAGACTGGCAAGCGGAAGTCACTGATGCCTCCCTGCACGTGTGCCTACCTGCCCACCTGCATGCACATCCACCTGCCTACACCTGTCCCTACGTGTGCATGCACATGTGTACACGTGTATGTGCCTGTGTGCATATGTGCCTACACCTGTCCCTACATGTGTGTGCACGTGTACACATGTACGTGCCTGTGTGCATACGTGCCTACACCTGTCCCTACATGTGTGTGCACGTGTACACATGTACGTGCCTGTGTGCATACGTGCCTACACCTGTCCCTACGTGTGCATGCACATGTGTACACGTGTACGTGCCTGTGTGCATACACACATGTGTGCACATGCACATGCCTGTCGCTGCATGTGTGCATGTGCACACACTCACATGCACACGTGTGCCTAGATGCCTGCTTGTATACATACTTGTGTACATAAGTACAAGCATATGTACCTGTGTGTGCGTGTGTACACACATCCATGCGTGTGCACACATGCCTACACGTGTGCGTACATGTGTGGCTGCGTACGTGTGTGTACTTATATACACGTGTATGACTACGTGTGTGTGTGCACACCTACACGCCTACATACATGTGTGCCTGTGTACTTACATACCTAATTGCATGTTTGCCTACATAGTCACCTTCGTGAATACATGCCTGCGTGCATGCGTTTGGGCATACACGCGTGTGCATCTACATATACACACACACACCTACATACCTACTTCCACACATGCCTACATACCTACATGTGTGTGTACGCACACATACATGCACGGAACATATCTGCCTGTGTGCACGCCTACCTGCATAGCCACCTGCTTAGATGGAAGGGCAGATCCTATGCTCTGAGCCACGTGGTCCTCACCGAACGAGCGGCAGGGAGAACAGACAGCTTTGATGCCTACGTCAGTTTGAAACCTGCACCGCCTGCTTCCTCCTCCTCAAGCCCGGGGTCTTCCTGGAGCAGTCACGGGGCAGAGCGGAACTTGGTGTCGGTGGAGGAAGGGTTGGGCGGTGCTGGCGCGTGCGTCTGGGGCTCCGGGCGGCCCTGCCAAGGGGTCTACACAGTGACTCTTCTTAGTCTGAATAGCTCTCACACGTGTTTAACACATGGCACGTGGTGAAAACGTGCGTGTTTAAAGAAAATTGTGCACATCAGGAATTTCGGCCCTGACTTGTGTGCGTGTCACTTTTCAAACCAATTTTCCAGGATTTGTTGCCTTTGCAGCCGAATGAGAGAAATAAACCTGCACACGAGAGATAGCATTGTCCTGGGAAAATCCAGGGGATTAATGTGACGGAGCGCGCAGGAAATTGTGCTTCGGCCGTGCTTCTGGGCTGCTTGTGAACACACCACACCAAGGACAATTTGTTAAACAAGAAATATGGGGTGTGGAAATGGGAAGGGAAGGTAAATGGGGAAAGACACATCCAGAAGTAGCTTTGATGTGTGTCTGTGTCCCCAACAAATGAGAGACCAACTCTTCCTGAGTGGAGGAGAATCCTCTGATGCGGAAGGGCTGGCGCTTCCATGTCCTGTGTGAGACTGGGGGCGTGAGGGGCCCCAGCACCGCCAGTTTGTAAGGGTGGCGGCAGCTGACGCGGTCGTAACAGCACTCGGTTGATTAAGTGACACCCTGGCTGGGCCCTTTGCCGAAACGCCTGTGTAGCCACAGAGGCACCAAGGCGTCCTGAGGAAAGGCGACGACACAACGGACTCACAGCCAGACATCGAGAGTCACAAGTCAAAATAACGTGGAGTCAGGCGACTCTCGGTTGGTGCTGCTGTTCCTTCTGTTTTCTGTGCTTTCCATCCGTCCCTCCACGCTGGGGACGGAGGTCAGGCTTGCTGGGTGCTCTCAGGTCAGCACAGGGGCGTCTCCTGATGGGAGGGGTAGGGGGGCCCCGAAACACAGACCTCTGTTTCTTCGCAAGCAGAATGCTGTTGAAGATTACTTGCTCACTAGGGAAATAAGTGCTATTTTCTGTAAATATTCGGGTAGCCAGGACAAAATGACTATTGAACTTTCTCAGAATTACCGTTGAACGTAAAGTTGTCATTATTACATTATAGCATTAAAACTATTATACGACAACTTACAAAGTTAGGATTCTGTAGTTCTCTCGATCTCTAGATCTCAAAGGCCCACAGCGGGAAGCATCCAGAAAAATAACTAAACAAAGCACTGCACTGTTTGAAGCAGGAGTGTTGGAATATGCCATTTAGAAACTCATTATTTTGCTTGGCTTTTACTCTTCACATGACATGACTCTATCATTTAAATCATGTCAGATCTTTAGGAGAAAAGAAAACGAGAGAAATAAGGGAGTTTACTATAGGTTCAGAGATGTGTTTCATCACAATAATTACGATTTATGAGAATACTGAAGTCGGCTGTTACAATCGTTTCAATGGGGAAAAATTGAAAAACACATTAAAATCACATTGACAACCAGGATAAAGAAGAAGGGTGATTTTGATTGTGAGTCTGAACACCTAGAAATGCGGGTGATAAGGTGCGCTACAGATCTAGCTCTGAGCCTCCTTGCAGCCAGAGTGTAAGGGAAAGTCTGACTGCCTCGGAATTTTGTGACCTTGCTGTCACAGGGAAGAATCACAGCAGGGTCTCAGAAGGGAGCTCAGGACACAGCTGGGGGGGGGGGGGGGGGGGGGGGGGGGGGGGGGGGGGGGGGGTGTGTGCATGTCCACACAGGCAATACTGATGGGACGGGAAGTATGCTTTCAACGTGTGTGGCAAGTGTTACACCGGGGGGGGGAGGGTATATTTTATCTCTTTGCCTTTTTTTTTTTTAAATGTTTGTTCATGTCTGAGAGAGAGAGACATAGAGTGTGAGCGGGGGAGGGTCAGAGAGAGAGGGAGACACAGAATCCGAAGCAGCTCCAGGCTCCGAGCTGGCAGTCAGCACAGAGCCCAACGCGGGGCTCGAACCCACGGACTGTGAGATCATGACCTGAGCCGAAGTTGGACGCTCAACCGCCTGAGCCCCCAGGTGCCCCCGGCTTCTTGACTGCAGTAAAAACTACATGACATAAAATATACCATCTCAGCCATGTGTAGGTGTACAACTCGGCATTAAGCAGATGTCATATCCTTATGCTCATGTGGGAAGATAAAATTAAGACTCACGGCCATTAAACAAGACGAAGCTGTCGGGCCAACGGCGGGATGTGAGTCCAGGCGGTCGAGCACCGGCCCCCCACGAGCACCCAGGTTGCGATTCGGTGTCTGTGTTAGACGCTAACCTGGTTATGGAAAGACATCATCCTTTCTGGATATTCTCTCTGAAGGGCCGCACAGCCCGGGCGCCCGGGGGGTAGGATCACAGGCCCCAGCCACGCAGGACTTCAGGGTTGTGCGCTGCACCGCCGTGTCCTCAGCGGGCAGGCCTGTGGACGGCTCTGGCCCAGGGATGCTGGCGCGAGAGGCAGGTGCGGGAATAGTGAATGTAAATCTTGTCTACTAAAAATAGTCGTATGCACCAGGCGCAAAATGCTTGCACGTCATTCCCCTTCTCAGGGAGAGGGCTGCCTTTCCCACGTACAGCTCAGGCTAGAGGCGGTGGTCGCTGGGCCAGGCTCGGGGGGCCAGCGGCGGGGCAGAAGCGGCCTGGGCTGGGCGCTGGCTGTGGCCCCTGTACCGCATCCCCTCCCAGGAGTGGGTTTCTGTGCAGATCCAGGCTGTGAGACCCTCCCCCCACCTGTGCTGCCCAGGCCCTATTCATCCCCCGAGTCCAGGGAGCCCCCGCCACAGAGATGCCAGCCTCCCCAGCAAACATCAGTCCTCCTGGGTCCACAACACACACAGGCTGTTCCCCAAATCCTTGGCCTGAACCCAGTCCCTCTGAATGGGGCCCCGCCTCTCACCTGACCCCTGGGATGAGAACCGGGCTCTGTGCCCCAGCTGCTCACGGGGGTTCTGGTCGACCCCAGCAGAGTGTCCCACAGCTGAAACGCTGAGATGTGGCCCAGCCACACAGCACACGTGCCCCAGGACATGCTCACTAACCTCCTGCCACTGATCTGTCCTTTGGGAACAGTTCTGATGGCCGTTGGGCCCCTCGACCTGGGACCCACGTGCACACAGCCCTCTCTGCATCTGACAGCCAGGGCGTGGGATCAGGACTCACGGTGGGCAAGCCCATCACCTTGTGAAGCTGAGATCTTCCCAACAACCACGACCAAGCACAGGGATGTGACATTGTCACCCTACACATTGAACCCAGGACTCGAAGCTGCTTAAACAGGGGCAGTGAGAAAGCGAGGAGCAGATTCCCGTAATCCCACTTACATTTGGCCGTCGACACCCTCGTACTCCATGTCAGATCCAGGGCAGGAAAAGGAAGTAGTATCTCGACCTAAAGGCCGTGCGGTTGTCCCCTGGGCTTCATCCACACTGTGTGTGTAGTGCAGAGTCTCACAGCGAACATGGAAACAGTAACGTTAAAATCAAATGTTAGAGTCAGTGAGACATCGCACGGTATGTCAGGTGAGAAGGGGTGGGCAGGCCCGCGGGGGGGCGCTGGCACCTTATCCTCACGGCCTCCAGACCTTTATTCCCAGGCTCAGACAAGGCTCGCTGAAGGTTCGTTGAACTGAGCCCCTCACTTAACACACAGAGAAACCACACAGGCACAACACGGGCCTGACCATGTCCACACGGGCCATTTAAAAGCCCTGCAGTGACGACTTTTACCTGAGCCGTGAGATCCTTCCGGCCGACGAAAGACGCACAGACACCTGTGTGAGCTCTCTGGGGACAAGGGTGGCACTTTCTCTTGGCCCACATGTTTCTAAGTTTATTTATGTATCTTGAGAGTGAGGTGGGAGGCAGAGAGGGAAAGAGAATCCCAGGCAGGCTCCAAGCTGTCAGCGCAGAGCCCGATGCGGGGCTCGAACTCAGAACCGTGAGATCGTGACCTGAGCCGAAGTCGATGCTTAACCGACTGAGCCACCGAGGGGCCCGTGGTCTACATATTTTCACTTAAAAGACTAGAACCCCTCACATTTATTTGCTACTTTCCATTGTCGTTGGGCACCTCACCACACGGTCGGTGTGTTAGCCCTTTTGAACGAGGCAGCATCGTTCCCCCGCTGATGACCAGAGAAAGCGGGGTTTGCGGGGGGAGGCACACCTACAAGGTGGGGCTGCCCCGGGCGCACCTGTCCGAGTGCAATGTGCCCTCTAGTGACAACAGAAGGCCCTGCAGGCCCGTGGCCCCAGCACTGGGCAGGGGCGGGGGGGCGGGGGGCAGCACTCGGGCAGAGCCACCAGGACCTGTCCCGGGGTCACAGTTCTTCAGCCCCGGGCAGCCCAGACATTTCCTCGGACCCGACCGTGAGAAGCAGAAAGTACCCCGGGTTCTAAGTCGCACGCAGCTTGCGAGTGGAACGCGGCCGCACACTGTGGGTCCCAGCTGGCCGCGGCGGGGGGCCGTGGGGTCCGGGAGCCCCCGCTGGCTCCCGGCGGGCCGCCCCAGGGCTGGGTGCTGGGGGAGGCGCCTCGCCTCCGGGCCGAGCCAGGTAGTCGTCCTGCGCGCCAGATCCACGGTGCAAATAAGAGTTCTGGCGCTGATGGCCTTTCTGATCCGGTTGCCATGGGAACGGCGGTCCGAGGGAGAGGATAAGTTATAAAAAGAAGGCTGTCTTTAAACCCTTACCTTGTCTCCCCAGCCTTGCGCGTTTCCATGGCAGCTGAGGGTAACGCGCGCCGCGCTCGCTCAGGGCCTCGCCGTCCTGGGCTGTCAATCACTCGGCCTCGGGGCCCCTTCCAGCGGCCTTGATCCAGCCGATCGCGGGAAGGAATGTGGGAAGGGCAAGTTTTATGAGGCCTCCCGAACGCAGGACCCAGAAAGCGGCCGGGGCGCGGGCATGGGGCCGTGCCCTCCACGGTGGCCGGCAGGGCCGCGGCGCCTTCCCGGAGGCTGTCCTGGTGGGACGTGAGGGGCCGGGCAGAGGGGCTGCCGGGGGCGCGGCCACTGCGAGCGAGCCCCTGGCCTGGGGCCCCGCTGCTTCCGTTTGTCCTCCCGCGCATCCCCGGGTCCGAGCCACCCCCGGGTCCGAGCCACCCCGGGGTCGGAGCCACCTGCGGGTCCGAGCCACCCCCGGGTCGGAGCCACCCCCGGGTCGGAGCCACCCCGCGGGTCCGGAGCCACCCCCGGGTCCGAGCCACCCGCGGGTCCGAGCCACCCCCGGGTCCGAGCCACCCCCGGGTCCGAGCCACCCCGGGGTCGGAGCCACCCGCGGGTCCGAGCCACCCCCGGGTCCGGAGCCACCCCCGGTCCGAGCCACCCCCGGTCCGAGCCACCCCCGGGTCCAGAGACCACCACCCTCAGCGCGCCGCGTGCTGCCCGCCCCGGGCAAGCGGTCAGTGGGGCGCCCCAGCTCCCTCCCTGGCTCCCTCCCTCTCCCTCCGCAGCCCGCCGTACTTTGAAGAGGCTCCTCTTTAATCATGTAGTGACAATTTCCCACCTTCAAAAGGCGTCTCTTTTGTTGGAAATGCAAAGTGTTTTCACTGCTTTCAAAGCAGCTGAGAATTTTCTCAGTCATGTTTAACTGCCTCCAAGACAATGATTTTTCACCTAGATTTGAGGAGAAACAAAAATTGGTGTTTCTGAGTGAACAGACACCGTTCTCTGGTGCCCACAGAGAATCGACTCCTGGGCGGGCTCACTCAGGGGCCTTTACACGGGAGATAAACCGCAAACACAGTAGGGTAATTAATTACACGTTTCCCTTCCCGACGTCGGCTCCGTCTCCCCAAACCTCGGTGCCAACTTTGTGCAGAACACCCATCAAGCCTGAAACGTCCACAGAGGGGCGCCTGGGGGCTCAGTCAGTCAGGCGACAGCTCTGTGCTGGACTGGGGGGACCCGGCAGGCCCGGGGCGCCCCAGTGGCCCAGCTGCCCCCCTCTGGGCACAGGACACCCCGCCCCGGCTTCCCAGCTCCTCGCTCCGGACGCCCGCCTCACCCCTCCTGCGCCTGGACGGCGGTCGGCTCAACTCCGCACGCATCCCTCCTGCGGGCACTAGACCCTTCCCGGCCACACCCCCCGCCATGGCTGTTCCCCCCACATGTGCCAGCCGCCGCCCCCCCCCCGCCCTGCCCATGGAAGGGGCCGTTCGTCCATCCGCCCCCGTCGACCACCCTGACCCCCACGAGGGGCCGCCCGCCCTCCCCGGCCGCTGAGCACGCGCACCTGCATCACTGGCCGGCCCGGGCTGCGGCTTCCGGTCAGGAGGCGCCCCCGCCCGCCGTCCCGGGGACAGGCGCCCTGCTCTGCGGCCGCGCTCGGAGCCCAGGACGCAGGCGCACGGCCCCCGGGGAGAACGGAGGGCCCGGGGAGAGGCCGCGCCAACAGGAGCAGACGGGTCCCTCGCCGGCCAGGCTTCCCCGACTCCCCCAGGCCACCCTCCCCGTGCCCCACGGTGACCACGGGCCCCTCCAGCCTCCGACACGGGACCGCCGCCCTCCCCGGCCACAGGTGGCTGCCGCCTCCCGGGCGCCCGCCCTGGTGAGCACCGCCAGGACCCACGGACCTGCCCGGCCCCCGGCCCCCGCCGCCCGCCAGCAGGCCCCACGCGTTCACCCCGTGCGCCCCTCCGGTCCTCCCCGCAGCCTGCCGCTCTCGGCCCCATCGCTTCCGGCCCCGGCGATGCTACCCTGGAGACACAGCGACCCTTGCACACGCAGCCCGAGCCCCCCGCACCGGGTCCCGCCGGCTCCCCAGCCACGCTGGTGTGAAGAGGCCGGCCGTCTCCCATGTCAGCTGTACTCCTCCGTCCCCTGAAGACACCTGCTGTCTCCCCTCCACCCTCAGGAACCCCCCCCAGGAAGGGCTGGTCCCCCCTGCACGCTGCGCCCCTGACGCCGCGCCTAAATTCTCCTCAGCCCCCACGGATGGCGTGCGCACTGCACCTCTTTCCAGACACCACTCCTGGCACCCGGCACCCGGCACCCCCTTGCTCAGAGCCCGAGAGTCCCCTGTGACCTTCCACACATCCCTCCACCCTTCCCCCGGGGTTAGGGGCCTAGGTGCCCGTGGATGCGCCAGGCAGAGCTCAGCTCCCTCGGCCCTCAGCGCAGCCCCTGGAGGCACGTGGGGTCGCCTCTCCCCCACGCGGAGCAAGTGCGCCCCGTCCCACAGCTGGGACCCGATGCAACCGGATGAAGCCCCTGTTCCCAGCACGGCCCCCACCACAGGCGGCCACCAGACCCCACGCAGCCCCTGGGGCTCCGCAGGGTGCCCTCATCCTGGCTCGCACTGCCAGCCCCGCCCCCGGATCTGGTCCCTGGGGTGCCCTCGGGAGTCCTGTCACCCAGACGAGAAGCTGCGAGCGCTGGGGACGCCCCCACGGTCTGCCCCGTCTCCTCGTGCCGGTCCTGGGCTCCTTCCCAGCCTCAGCCACCCCGGCTTTCCTGTCCCCTAAATAACGGAACCCTAACTCCAACATTCAGACCTGCCTTTTCTTCCGTGCGCGAGGCTCCGCCTCCACCCCAGATCGTCCAGCGGAGCAAGTATTTCCTGATTTCGAAAAAGGTTGGACGTATTATTCTAAAAGTAAAAGCTCAGTAGCTATAGTGTCAACTGTGGGAGAAATTCTAGGCAAGATCATCCCATGGATCGTTTAGGAATATTTACACAAGACCTGACTACAGATTCGCTCAGGAGATGTGCTGAACTAAATCTTCTCTCTGGTTGTTCCTAGACTAGTAGGTGGAGAGGTCGGTGGAGCCGTGGCCACCGTGACTTCTGTTCCACCCCCTCCCCGTCTGCCCCCCGGTGTGATCCAGGTCCCCGTGGCAGACGAGGCTGTGCCTGGGCCGGTGCCCGCTGGCTCACAGCCGTCCTCACGGACCTGCTTGCCCCTCAGCAGCATGCCTGACCCCTCAGACTCAGCCCATCCAATTCCCTTTCTGTGGGTGGCCCTTCTCACTTGTGTCAGGAAGGATTCCCATGGGGATGTTATGGTTTCAGCCACCTCCTCAGCCACCTCGCTGGGCCGTGCGTCCCTCCACCACAGCGCTTACGCAAGGCTCTGAAATGATCTGTTTGATCCATTTTCTTAGAAGAAATATCTCAGGTGTAGACACTATATGCTGTTCATCTCGGTGATCTCATTATCTGGCATTCAATGGATGCTTGACGTGTTTGTTGAACTCTCAGACTGAACGGTCTTCTTTGAGGGCAAGATGATGAAGTGTGTAGTGAATTATAGCACGAATAAACTGGGTTTGCAGTCCTCTAAATGACCATGACCACAGACCAGGGCTCCATCGAAGAGTGACCTGTGAGGGCGAGGGCGAGGTATGAAAACAGATCATAAGTTCGTGAAGGCGCACACACCCCCAGAAAGCGTGGGGCACATACTGGAAGTCAGAATGGGAACGCCATAAACCAGCATCAATAACAGAAACCCCGTGAAGCATTAAGTCTACCAGAAAACACACGT